TAGCTCATACTGCCTTCTTAAGGTTTGAAGTTTTACTTTCTTGATCTTATCTCCTCCGGTATAACTTCTAATCAAAATGTCCCAGGCTTCCTTCGCAGTGTTCGCATTTTGAATCTTCTCAAAATGAATGTCATCAACACATTGATGAATAAGAAACAATGCCTTGCTATCCTTCTTTGCCAATATCGCCTTCTGCGCCTCTGCCGAACCGGAAGCAACCACCTGGCCTGTTTCAACTACATCACTGACATCCTGAAATCTGAACAAAACTTTCATCTGGGTACTCCATCTATCCCAATTTTTCTCATTCAAGATTGGGAGATTTGATGAGGGAATGTGACTGTCACCTCCGACCATTCTTCTTCCTTAATACACGATCAAGAAACTGAATCTTGATTGACACTAATTCAAGCACCTTGAACTTCTTCTGCAATCGTAACTCCCTAAGCGCCAACGTCCCGGAATAAAACCGAGGCTCTAGATACCACTTATGTTAGAACAAGCACAAGAGAGAATGAGATAAAATGATTGTGGTATTTTATTATGTAATAACCTGTAAGTGGTCTTTATATAGAGTTTATAATAGCTGTAATGAGGGTTGTTATAACGTAAGTAAAAACAGAAAGAAATAACGAAATACTTGACTTATACAAATATTACAATCTAATATATTTAAGTAAGAAATCATAATATGTTTGAATTTCTAATAATTGTGAAATTTTTGTCCATTAAAGTAAAGATAAAAGTGAAATCATAATCTTTTCGCCACAAAATAATAAGATATAGAATCAAATAGACAAATTAGGTAAAGGAATGAACATTGGATTGGAATTAACTGAAGCTAAGATACTTTTACTAGTGACTTAAAACAAAGAAATCATAAATCATTTCTACGTGTGAATTAAGAAATATAAACAAAGAGGCCATAAAAAGATATGACTGAAGTCACACAAGATATATTAATTTTATCACAATTTATTTATAGATTAATTTTAAAAAAAATGGTATGCTCAATTATTGTATAAAATACCATATTAATAGTAGCTTACTTTAATTAATAATATTACTAATTATAATTAATCCAATGGTTATTGAAAAGTAATTTGTATGTTCATTAATTTATTTAAATTAAAGATGTAATTTATGTCGCGATTAATTTTGTTACCATTACAAATATATCGTGTTGTTTTATATCCTTTTTATCATATTAATTTAATTATATTTTAACATATTATTGTTTTTTATTAAATTTTGATAAAAAGTAAGACATTATATAAATATTTATATATTTATATGAATAAGTATATAAACTTTTACATATTTATATTTTTTTATATCATAAATAATTATTAAAATTAATAAATATTTTTTAAGTGATTTATTTATTCATTATATTTGTTTGATATTTTTAATTGTAATATGAAATTATTTTTTATTATGTTGTTAATTTAATTATATTTTAATATATGATTATTTTTTTTATTAAATTTATACAAAAGCAATTGATAAGATAAATGTGGATACATATACGTATAAATATATGAAGTTTACACATTTATATTATTAAAATTAACAAACATATTTTTTAAATAGTTGATTTATCAATAATATTTATTTTTCATCTCAATATTTTAATATTTTAATTGTAATATGCACAAAAAATAATAATAAAAAATAAAAATAATTATCATATAAAATAATATAATTTTAAAATTATTTATATAAAATCAACTTTTCAACTTTAACATGTTTCATTTATTTTATATTATGAAATTTTGAATTATTTTTTGTAATAATCAATCTAATAAATAAGTTCTCCTTAATTTTTTGTTTCTACCTAAGATAACCCTTCCCTTCCTATTTATATAATTAGATTTTTTTTTAATCATAACATTAATTAAAATTTATCTCTTCACGTAAAGAGATAAATTTCTTATATTAATTTTTTTTAATTTACATATATATATATATATATATATATATAAATTTTTTATTTATTAATCAATAATTATATATATGTACTAATAATTAAAATAATAATTTATTATTATTATTTTTAATAATAATTTAACAAAATATTTAAATTATCCAAACATATTGTAATTTGATATATTTCAAAAAAATAATTATAGTAAATTTTGAGATATCACACGTAACATACACTAGATATAAAAATAAGAAAGTAAAAATAATTATAATATAAAATAATATAATCCTAAAATAATATATAAAATGAAATAAAAAAGTAAAAATAATTATAATATAAAATAATATAATCCTAAAATATATATAAAATGAACTGTTCGTATCATCAATGTATTCTATTTATTTTATATTATAAATATTTAAATTAATTATTGTAATATCTAATCAAAATAAATGAGTTTAAAATTAATTATTTTTTAAATAATATTTACTCATTTATAACTTTTATTTATAATATCATTAAATCTTTATAAATAAAATATTTTATTTTTAAAAAATATTTAAATAACAATCTAATAATAAAAATATAAATTAATAAATAATAATTAATACGTAACAAAAATAATTAAATATAAAATAATACTAATATATAATTAAAAATAAAATAAAAATAATAAAATAAATAAATTGAAGTTAGAACTACTTCATTGAAAAACTATACCTAAATCTAAAAATAAATAATCATACTAATAAATATTTCTTTCATCTACCTCAATAATTAGAATCTCTATTTCTCTCTTCCTTTCTTTCCTTTTCTCTATCTTCCCTTACCCCCCCCCCCCCCCACACACACATCTATCTCTCCCATTTTATTTTTTCTTTTCATTAAATACGTGTTTATTTTTATTTTTTTTCAGTAAGTTTTACTTTTTATTTATTTATTAATGAACTAATAATTAATTAAATTTTTATTAAAATAATATTTTTTCGTATAATTTAACAGTATATATTATAAAAATATTTAAATTATCCAACAATATTATAATTTAACACATTATATTTTAAAATTTATACATAACAAATTTTGAGGTATATTGTAGTTAATTTAATTACTGTTAAAAAGGGTATTTTATAATGTAATTAAAAAAATAATTAAACAATACAAATGTGTCTAACAACCACATATATATATATATATATATATATATATATATATATATATATTATAAAGTGATAATAATGTGTGTTTCGATGAGAAAAAAAAATCTCAATTAAGATTATTTTTGGGCAATTTTATGTTGGAGAGAAGGTTGAAAAAAATTAACCCAGTGCACCAATAATATTGAAAATATAATCCGGACTTACGTTAGTAAAATAATTATGATTAACATTAATCATAAATAATCTGTATTGATTTAAATCAGAAAAATATTTATTTATGTTAGCTAAAAAATTCGTGGTGGGTTTTTACCCATAAATAACCTCGATTAAAATTTCTTAAAAATATATTTTTGAATTTTTTAATATTATTTAATATTAAAATATTTTTTATATTAATAGTAATTAAATTACTTCATATAAATAAAGAAACTAAAATTTAATAGTTTTTTCAATGATCTTGTATAAAAAAATATTTAAAAGTTAAAACAAATTAAATTAAAAATCATCAAAACTATTATATTTTAATTTATTTTAAATTGTAAAATTCTTTTTAAGACACATCATAAGAGTATTTTATTTTTTAAAAAGAAATGAAAACGTTGAAGCTGACAAAAATCATATAAGAATGATATTGAATTTTTAAAGTCATTTAATTATTTCCTTAATGCTATATATCTAAAAACATAAAAAAAATATAAAAGGTGAGACAAGTATATATATTTAATAATCGTTAAATTAAAAAGTTAAATTTATAAATATTAATATAAATTACAAAATTTTAAAATTATTTATTAAATTTGAGAGTCATCATCGTTAATATAAGTTATAAATAAAGAATGATAATATCTCTCCGATGAATAAACTTTCTCATTGTTATTAACTGTTTATATTATTATTGTATAGATTGAAATAAGTTTTTTGAAATTAAAATTGTTAAAATTATGTAAAAAAGATATAAAATAATTTTATTGTAATTTTAAATAAAAGTAATTTTTTAAAATTTTTATTATGAAATAAATATTTATAATTTTAAAAATATATAATTTTTAAAAAGTCGGGCAACAGTATTTTATTTCAAGACCAGTCCTACTATTGATCATTTACGTTAAAATTCAACAAATAATTATGAACCGAAAGAACAAAAATAATAAATAATTCTCCAAATCGGAAAAAATTGCCAGGTCCAAATAAATAGCAAGAAGAAAAAGATACAAAAGCAAACAAAGAAAAAAAAATGTTTGTTTAGCTGTCTTCGACTAAACAAAAAAAGTAAGATGAAGAGTAGTTTCTTCGTAAAGTAATTTTATAAAAGGAAAAGAAAAATTAAAATTAAATTTTTAATATAAAATTTGTAAAAAATATTAATATATTTTTTAGTTTATATTTTAAACTGCTATATATACTAATTTTAATTTATGAACTAATTTTTTCGAAAAGAAATAAAAAAAAATAACCATCCAAACATATGTTGAATATTCGGAGTTGTGGTGGGGTCCTGAACCCGACCCTAGATAGAACGGGTCGTTTACGCGGCAACGCAAGACGACAACAACAGCTCCACAACATCCTCATCTTTTCCAAAAAGACCATGATGTCTTTTTCTACGTTCCAAACTTGCAAATATTAAAATATCAGCAACACCACCTTCCCTGTATATTCGCCCAACGCCATTTAACGCACGCACACCCTCTCTCTCACTTCCCTGTTTCTCGCTCAACCCTCTCTCTCTCTTACAAATTCTCCTCTTTCTCCGGCGAGTCTCAGATACCCTCATTTACTCGGGATCCGCCGATTCACTTCGCGATCCCGGGGTTTTTCTCAAACCCGTTCCGTTCCCGTTCCTCTCCCTTTTTTTTTTTTTGGGGTTTCGTTTTTCTTTCAATTTGAAAAAAAAAATATAAAAAAAAGGATCAATGAGCGATCATCTGGTGCTGTTCGTGGACCGTCTGGTGCGGCCCGTGCCGGTGATGGAGCCGCTGGCGCAGCACCCGATCCAACCCACCCCCGAGCCCTCGACCCCCGTCAATGAGGCCGCGGCGGGCCCCTCCGTCTCCGCTCACGCGACCGACGACGACAGCGACGACGAGGAGGCGCTGCTGCTGAATTTGGCGGAATGTCGCATTTGCCAAGAGGAGGATAGCGTCAACAATTTAGAGACCCCTTGCTCCTGCAGCGGTAGTCTCAAGGTACGAACACACATTCCGATTAACAATGAAAAATTTTAAATTCATTCTTTTTATGAAACAAACAGTGTATTACGATTGTGAAGCCATGGTGATCAAATTGGATCATTTTGTTATTGAGAAATCGGAGCAATTTTCTTGGTGGTAATATGTATTATGAATCTGTTTGGTAACCGTTGGAATTTTTTCCGCAGTATGCTCACAGAAAGTGCGTACAGCATTGGTGTAATGAGAAAGGAGATATAATTTGTGAGATTTGTCACAAGGTATGATTCTTTTACATGTGATTTTCTCACCTAGGGGAATTTTGGTTTTTTAATTTTTTTTTTATGGTGGTTAGATAATGGCAAAGATCATGCGTTATTTTAACTATTAATATTTATTGAAGAATGGTTTTGTGCAATGGTGTCACTGGATTGAACCAAATGCTGAGTGTGCGTGTCTGTTACTGAGTTTGTTTCAATTTTGTTCATGTAATTCTCAGTCGTATGAACCTGGTTATACTGCCCCTCCACCTCGTCCTCAACCCGAAGAAACTACCATTGATATAGGGTAAGCTTAAAGTTTCTGTTTTAGAAGTCTCTAACTAAGATAGTTTTCCGTATAAGCGATCCATTTTTGTGATTCAAACTTTTGTCTCATTCTTTGCAGAGGAGGCTGGACAATCTCTGGCATGCCATTAGATTTACGCGACCCCCGACTCTTGGCAATTGCAGAGGCAGAACGTCAATTCTTGGAAGCTGAATATGATGGATATGCTGCTTCTAATGCCAGTGGAGCTGCATTTTGTCGTTCAGTTGCTTTGATTGTAAGACATTAATCTTGAAATCCTTTTTAACAAATTATTTGTAGAATTCAGTCCTATGTATGTCCACCCGAAATACATTTTCTAGAGGCCATGTCGTTTTACACTTGACAATAGATAATATAGCCCCAGAAGTATCAAAGCTTTAGGCATATTTGTTTGGAATTTTAAGGAAATCAATTGTTCCTCCTATGATCTTTGGGTTCTTCATGCACATTGACTATTCAAGTAGTGTTCAGGTATGTTTGTTAGGAAGATTAAGGAAATCAATTGTACTTGCTTCGCTATGATCTTGAGGGTCTTTAGTCATAATTGACTGTGCCAATAGTATGCTAATACTTGGACATAATTTTAATCCAATTCATTCTATTTGGTTCAGTTAATGGCCCTTTTACTTTTGAGGCATGCTCTTTCTGTCACGGATGCTGATGCTGAAGATGATCCATCTACATTTTTCTCTGTGAGTGACTTTATTTCATTTTGTATAAGTGGTTCATACAATAATTGTATTGCTACCAAATAAATTGTCCACGCCAACTTATTAGATGACCATTTTCTCCAGCTTTTCTTGCTTCGAGCTGCTGGTTTTCTTTTACCTTGCTATATCATGGCCTGGGCAATCAGTATTTTGCAACGCCGGCGACAAAGACAAGTAAGTTTCAGTCTCAGTTCCGACTTATTTTTGTTTTGATTTTGCTCATTCAGTGTTGGTATTTGTTTCCAAATTCGATTTTGCTCATATCTCTTGATCATGTTGCTAAGAAACTGACTCATGCAGACGAATTACTTGTTATGTTCTAGGAAAGTCTCATTGTTTTCATGTTATGGTAACAGGAGGCTGCAGCACTAGCAGCAACCCAAGTTGCTTTTGTTCTACAATCTGAGCAACGTAGGGGTCTGCAATTTGCCATAGCACCAGTACCAACAATGAACACACACCATGACCAATTGTAATTTGATGCCAGTATTTTTAACAGTGGCATGTTTACCATGGAAAGAAGGCTTTAATGTTATGCCATGCATTTTTACTCATGATTTTCTCAGCTCTAATGTACCTATCCACACTGGCTTGAGCAACTTTGAGATGGTGCTGAACATTTTGGAAGATATAACCTTCGAAAATAAAAAGTCATTTTGTAATATTGGAGTTCAAGTCTCTGAAAGTTGTAGCAATGTTAACTCTACTTGTAAATTTACCATGTCACTCCATATCGGTAACGTTATCCTCGGGCCTGTTTTTCTGCTCCATCGTAATCATAACTCAAGTAAATCAAAGCAAACGGTGGAAGAAGACATAATTTTGCATTTGATCATGGTAAGTTCTCATTGATGATCGGTTCTTGTTGGCTTTTTATCCCTTCTTTATTGCTTCCAAATGATACACAAAACCACACAACACGCATTGGTGCTGAGTATACTATAGAGGAAGCTTCTCGAAATCAACCATCAAATTGACCAATGATGAGTAACTTAAGGGTAATAAAAATTATTCTCAATTTGTTGTCAAAATAATTATTATTCATCTCAATTATTCACCTGTATTTAAGTATAGGGGTGTCAATATGGGTTCTAAACTTGAGTCAATTCGATTTATCACAGGTTCGAGTCGGGTTGGGTTCAATTTTTTTTATTTTTATTGATTATGGGCTAAAAATGAATTCGGTTCATTTAATCTACGGGTTTGAGTCGGGTTATGGTGGGTTGGTTTGTAACTCACCATTAATTTTAAATTTTAAAAATAATTATAATAATATACTAACCTTAATTAATCATTTATTTTAAATTTTAAAAATAATTATAATATTTTAGTAATCATAATTGATGTTATCTTGTCTCACCTCCACCTTACATTGCCGTTGCTACCACAAGTCAAACCGTCACTCAAGTTTATTATTAGTTATTTGTTGCACCATTACGTTTGTAACTGCATTTGGGTCACTTGTCTTATCATCTGCCTACCGCACTACTACACTACTGTGTCTACTATACCGTTATTAAAGGTAAGAAATTGTAACATCTATATATTATTTATTGTTTGTTATTTGTTATTGATTTATTTGTATATCTCTTTAATATATGAATTTTTGACTTCTTTCTTTCAAATTAATTTACAGTATCAAATCTGAAACAATACATCAAAGTGTCAATGTGAATTATGTTGGTGATGATTTTATTATTAATGAAAAACTTAATGAGTCAATTTCGAGTTAATAACGAAGATAGTGATGTTGAGAAAGAAAGGAAAAAAGCAAAAATTTCTATATACGAAATTTCTATATCATTTAAAAAATTAAAAAAATATGGGTTAGTGAACCAACCCACCTAACCCACTAACCTGTGATGGGTTGAACCGAATTGTAAAATTTCTACCTCGTCAAAAAGTGAGCCGGATTGAACTTACCTATTTTCAGTTCAACCTGTGTCTCGGGTTGACTCACTTTTACACCTTAAGCATCATATGGCCTTCAGCCTAATTTTCTTCCTCTTAGCCCAAATTCCATTTTTCATATGCCAGACTTTAATTCTTTGCCGGTTAAACTTGTGCTGTTTTTCATAAATATTATTTATTTAAAATATATGTACATAAAATAACATTAAGTTTTAAAATATTAAGAAACATATCAAATGGAATTATATTCAATTCAAAAATTATTAAACATATTTTTAATTGAGCAGATGTTATTGTAGAAAATATTATGCATGTTGAACTTTTATATTATGATCCATTTTCTTCCCGCAATAAAAGTCGCGTATTTCTTATACCAAATGAATAAATTAAAAATATAAATTTAAAATTATCTAAATTTAAGTGTTTGTTTTCGTCGTTATTGATACTATGTGTTGGATGTTTTTGACTTATATGCATTTATAATTAATAATTTTTAGTAATGTTTATTCTGAAAAATTAATTTCTTCAAATGATATTTTTAATCATTTTGAATATATTAGTTTTAGTTATATGATTTTTTTTAACTCTTTAACCTCGTTATCAATTAAATTACGAGAGCAATGGGGATTATTATAAAAAAAATTTATTATTATTATTATTATTATTTATTTATTCTTTAGTTCTACTTTCATTACTTATCATATTTTAAAGATTTTTATCTATAACTTATTAAAAGAATTTATTCATCTAAAAACATTATATGTTCCAAATTATATATATTATGAAAATCTATATCTTATAATTTAACTATTATATGAATTATTTATCTATAAAGATTATTATCTGTACGCATACTATGTTTTCAATATTTATTACATCATATGGTATTTCTTTTCTCAATCTATGGGAATTAAAAGGGACAATTTTTCTAACACTAATAATCACATTATTATTGTGTAGTTGGATTGTATTTATTATATACAATGTAAACCATTTTAAACTTTTTATCATAACCGTTAAAATGTATTCTATTTTTTTAATGGTATAACTTCTTGAGATTTAAAAATTATATTTTTTATCAATGGTACGAACAAGTGTTAATATAATAATTAATTTTACTCTTATTGTAATAACATATACAATTGTATTTATGAATAAAATTTTAAAGTGTATCTATCTATTTATATTTATCTATATCTATATATATATATATATATATATATATATATATATATATATATATATATATATATATCATGTGTCCTATCCATTTTATTAAAGTTTCTTTAATCAATTATCAAAATAAATTATCTCTTGGAGTTCAATTATAAATATAAAGTTTTCATGTATATTAAATTCGTAAAAAAACCTTTTATAATTGTAATTATTTTTACAGTTTTAATAGATTTTAGTCATATAAAATAAATTATTTAAATTTTATTCTCATAGATAAAAACTATTAATTTTAATTTCTGGTCCGGTTAAAGATCAACGACTAAGGATCAAAAGTGTTTCGGTCTTATGTCCGCTATTATGACATGTTAGAGTCAATTACCACGTCCGAAGTATTGTCTGCTTTAAAATTTTTGTCTGTCACAACTTTCATGAGTGAGACTTCATGAGTATAGCGGAAAATAAGTCTTTCAATCGATAACTAAGGGATATGTATGTATGAGTGGAGCGAGACTCTATTCTCGATCCTACGGTGGACGTCAAATGTTCTTACCGAGCTGAAGATGATCAGCAAAACATTCGCTGAACTGAAGATGGTTGGCAAGACAAGAAGATGAAGTCGATTGGCCAATCTTTGAACTACAATCGAGGACTAAGGGGTAGGTATGTATGAGTGGAGCGAGACTCTACTCTCGACTCCACGGTGGACGCCAAATGTTCTTATTGATCTAAAGATGATCGGTAAAACATTCACTGAGCTAAAGATGGTTGGCAAGACAAGAAGATGAAATTGGTTGGTCGATCTTCGAACTAGCTTTGAAGATGATCTTCGGGAAAGTGCAGAGGCCCACCTGTAAAAGGCACTCCAACGCTCAAGTTAGCCTTTAGACAAGAGATTGATGTATATGAGAATAAGTTATGAGGTAAGGTTTACTCCCTGGTTAGATCCCTTTATATAGTATTCAAAAGATAACAATGAGTTAAGATATAATAACTGATAGCCCATAAAATAATAACTAATATAAGATATTATAACAAAATAAAGATAAATAATAACAAAATAAATAAAAATAGTATCTTTAATGGATTTTGGCGGGTAAGCACGGTTAATTGGTCTAATAATTTTGGATCGAATAGATACATAAGTGATATGAACCTCATTTGCACAAGGGTTGACTTAAAATCTTTAGAGTTAGAACTTTGTAGGTAGTGGCGGATCTTGACCGGTCCATCCGAGGGGACCAATTATAAAAAAATATATATAATAATAAATAAAAAATAAGATGTTTATTTAAAATTGTGTCATTCGTTCTTTTAAATGTTTGAATTCATCAATAATGAAATCAGAATTAAAGTTTTCAGTTATTTTTTTCAATATAAATAATCATATTATCTGCAAGAATATCTTCCATTTTATTTCGCAGTCTTGTTTTGATAATCTTCATTGCAGAAAACGATCTCTCAGTTGTAGTTGTAGAAACAGGAAGAGTTCAAATAAGACGAATTAAATGATCTATTAAGTAAAATATACCTGACTTTCCTGTTTTTGTCAAAGATTAACATAATTCAAACATGGTAGACAAATTCTTTAAATCTGGATGGTTAGGATCATCAAGTATAAAATGATGAAGTTGAAATTTTAAATTAATCTTCTCTTGTTCACTAAAATCCAAAGGATAAAATTTGTTCACAAGTGTGCATATATGATAAATGTTAAAATTTTTGTAAACATCATTTGGAATTAAAACATTGCTTAAAGTTAAAAGTTTTATTGTTTTCTCACTAAATTTATCATTTAATTCTTGTAATTGTTTATCCACTGTAATAAAAAATATGTTGACCCTGAAATGATGTTCTACTGTAATACAATCTTTTTTATGTCGAGAACGATCATGACGTGATACATTGGTAGAATTAAAATTAGAAATATCAATGTCATATTGCTCATAAAACAATATCACATATTTCAACAAATCTTGTCAACCCTCCTCTCTTAATTTTTTAATCAAAATTTTAGTCGAATAGACTAACTGCATAGCATTATGTATATCCTGAGATTGTTTTTGTAAAGCTTAACAAAGACAATTAGTAATCCCCATAATTTCTTTCTTCATGTGTAAAATCAATATGAACTTAAACTCAGACAAAATATTATAAGCAGCATCACCCATTTAAGAATAAGTTGAACCATCAATTACAATTTTTTGGAGAACTAAATAAGATGCACTATACAATTTCATCATACTACAAATGGAATGAAAATGTGAACTCCAACGAGTATTACCAACTCGTTTTAAAGAGCCAATTTGATTTTTTTCTTTACCAGTTTCAAGTTCACCAAGTTCTAACAATTTGACTATTTCATCTAATGCTGCATTTTGTAACTCATCAT